CTCTTCGCATCAATCAATACAACTAATGCCAAAACACTTAGAACTGCCACTAATTTCATTGTTAGACAATAAATAACTGTTTTATTCGTTATTTAATAACTAAACAATTGAATGAATAAATTGTTAATAAAATGAAATAAACGATTCTTTATATGCAATTTGATTGCCTTCACAATCAGAAACCAGAATCACATAAAATCGATACCAAAGGCTATATTAAACTCCTTTATCGCAAATACAATACAATTAACGCAAATAATGTTTTAAATGCTATTGTTTTTCAAAGATATTGCTGTGATCTGTGGTCTGTGTTATCCGTATATAAGAGATATATTTTAGTGAAAATACATTTTCTTCGCATACGATATGAAAAACTTTTTAACAAATCAGTAATTGATTAGAAAATGTGTGCACTCTTTACCAATTGGTGTTCACTTCATGTGCTTTTTGTAACCCATTATCACTTCTTTACGCCAATCACAAGACATAAACTCATTATTTGAGTGTCGGTCCCGTACTTAAGGACTTGACGCTAATTAAGCTAATTATATGTGGAATTGTGTAAATCCGGAGACATTTAGTTTGGGTACATTATGGACATGTATTCTTACAAATTCGCTAGAAATGTATGCTATTTAATTGTTAAAATAGATGTTGCATGTATAAATTAAAAAGCAATCTAGATCATTAATTCAAAATAGCTTGTGTGTTTTCTATTCTATTCTATAGATAAATTTTTAAAGCTTACAAACTTTTAATTACTCGAAAATAATTGTTTGCACTAATGTGCATTAACATTTAAGATTGAATTCAATATACAGTTCTACGTGTAGAATATAATAAGATAAGCATGATCATTTTTTTTACAATTTTGCCAATACACTTATGATTGCATTTAATTATAATTGAAAAATATTATTAAAACATAAATATTATATGGTAAAATATAATTAAAAAAATTCTGGGCATGCTTTATATACTTGATTTAGCTAGATTATAGCTTAATGTTTAACCTTCAATAGAATACCTGTACAATTGTATTACTCTAGAAATGCAATACTGTATAAGTAATGTTTAATTCATTGCATGATTTAATGTTTTATTGAACACAACTTTAATATTTCTCATTTCTAATAATAAAATAATTAGTTTTTTTCTGTGACTAATGCACCGAATTTTGCACTCAAGTCAGTGTTTGTGAGTCGAGCTATGGTTGGAATTGAATTCATTGTTCACTCAATAACAACATTAAAACATGAGTCAAACAAATTCACACCAAAGAGTCGAAAACCATTGGAAAAAACTTTTCGAAATACTTTTTGACTCAAAAGTTGAAAACTTTTAGAAAACATAAAACTTTACAGTTTTGTGCGAATTCAAGCACTCACTGCGCGTGCGCTGCACTCAAAGCACGCATTCATTGGTCCAAACATTTCAATGTCTGTAATATTCAAAGCGTTGTTTTGAGTCAAGCCTTGCGTTGAATGGACTGAACACTCGTTTCATTGCATTTCATTTGGATCTCAATTCACAACTCATTTAACCATTGATTGAGTGATTGATTGATAATATGTTTTCGTTTCTCAAGTCTATCGCCGGCTTTGGGTCGCAGTCGACGGCCGCCGCCGACGACGACCTGATCCGAGAGCAGCTCAACGACGATCTCGAAGACCACTACGAAGAAGACAATGACAGAGACGCCGACAAAGACGGGGACCAATTGAGTGACACCTCGTTTACCGACTCGTCCGACGACGACATGCCGTTGACTAACGGCGGCCGCAGACCAGTGGTTGTCGACCGCATGAATGGACGCAAAGACTTGAAGACCACCGACGAGGAGGAAGAGGAGGGCGTCTGGAATGAGGAGTGGAACGCATTGGAAGAGTTGGCATCCGATGACAGACTCAAACTCGTGGACATCGACGGCAAAGGTGTGGCCGTAAAGGGAATGATCACTGAATGCGGAGACAATGAGATAGTGGTCGACGAGAAACACCGCATCAAATATAGCGTATGTCTTAAGAGTTGTTTTATCTTTTACTATAACATTGTTTGCGTGAAAAGCGGTCCACTTTTGGCCAACTCTTTACCGGAGATCTCGTGAATGTGGAGACCATTGGCGCCGAAGTGTTGGTAAAGCCGTTGCGGTTCAAGATATTGACGGGAAAGGTAACGGAATACCAGAGGAATTACAATCGATACATATTCTCCGGACACGTGAGTCAAGTGTTGACTTTAATGAAGATTTGATCCAATATTTGATCCAATGCTTGATTTTGTCTGAAAGGCTGTGATTCGCAAAACTGATGAAACGCAACACTTGAGAGTCGGAGACATCGAGAAAATGATTGTAATCGAGACCAGAAACGATGTCTTCAACTGGAGAGCCATTATCTACAGTAAGTTTTACGATCCCGAAGACGGCAAAAGGGATCAAATCGATGTCTACACCGACGATCTGATGGCCAATAAAAACTCAATCGAAATCACAGATGGAATCAATTTTAAAGAGATGAGAGTCGGGACAGAGAAGAAGATTTTCGTTTACATTAAGTGAGTATTGGTTTTGAGGTCTTTATGGCAGAGATATTGTTAACGTTTGTATTGACAGAAATCGGGGTAAAAGAGCCCAATATTTTATACGATATACGTTATGAACCAATTATGGTATAGACTCGATGTCTCGGCAATCATATTGTTTTTCAATGTCTTTATATGCCTATCAATCCCACCCCTCATCCCCTCTCCAATCCGTTTGGGTCTAAAATATTGTAACAAATATACTGAACGCCGATCTCTTCATATCTAATCAATTTGTAAAATCAGTTTCCTTTTAGACATTAATTGATTGCATTTTTGAATTATGCAAACATTATATTATTATTAGTAATACCGTAATAATTTATTACTTTCATAATAGTATTGATTGTGAAATATAGTTCTAAGTTTTTAATCATGATTTGTTTGTAACAATTTTACGTAATATATTTGGTATTCACCATTGATAACTATAAACTATAGTCAACTTAATAATTGAATAACAATTTATTAGATAAGAGTAATTACAAGAATAGCGTTATCTATAATATTAGCTTAATGGTCGAAACCGACGAATATCTTGGTAAACTCGTGGTCCTGTTCAGCAATACTAGAACAGGAGGGGCCGACTGGTTGTCCGGCACAACCCCTGTCACGATTGATAGACCAGAAGGACAAGTGACCGATCTTTTTCTGTTTAGCCCACGCGACCAGTTGTCTGGCGTGAGCCTGAGTGAAGATCTTGCCGTTGAAATTCTTGCCCAACATTGGAGTCACGCCAAGCATTGAGTACAACTCCGCGTCGCTCTTCTGCGGCCAAACCTGTTTCATCTGCCGGTGAGTGGACTCCGCGGCGGCGATCACAGCGTCGCCCCACGACTTCTTGTTAGTCCCGAACTCCATAGTCATTGGGTTCACGATATCGACGTTTACGCCGTGTTTGGCCGCATTCTTGAGCACCTGAACGCCCAGAGAATCGGTGACCCCATAGTCGTCGCCCTGAACCATAAGAGTGAAGCTCACCGTCAGAGACGGCATCTGCTTTTGAAGTGAGGCCAACGCCTGGTTCATCACATCTGATGGCACTGTCGACTCGATATCGATGTCCAGATGCGAAGAGCCGGTCACAGAGAGCACCCGTTTGTAAGCGTTCATCAAATCGTTGGCCGAATGGCAGCTCTGCTCCAAATAGGGTCCGACAGCGCCACCGGTCGACACAATGACATCACCGCCGGCCGCCCGGAAGGACTTGATATTGTTGATGATATCGGGGTCATCGATGTTGACCTGTCCGCCCCACATCGGTTTGCATCCAGCGGTTCCGCCCAAAGCAAACGCCAATGAGAAAGCCTTCACTCCATACTTGTTCTTCAAATCAACTAATTTGAAGTCTTTAGCGACCGTCACATCAATATATGGCGCAAACTTTGGCTCTAATTTTATATTAAATTTTATTATAATTGTGTAAAAGTTTTTTTTAAAATACAATTAATTTCTTACCCCTCTTCGCATCAATCAATACAACTAATGCCAAAACACTTAGAACTGCCACTAATTTCATTGTTAGACAATAAATAACTGTTTTATTCGTTATTTAATAACTAAACAATTGAATGAATAAATTGTTAAAACAACTGAAATAAACGATTCTTTATATGCAATTTGATTGCCTTCACAATCAGAAACCAGAATCATATAAAATCCATATCAAAGGCTATATTAAACTCCTTTATCGCTAATACAATACAATTTACGCAAATAATGTTTTAAATGCTATTGTTTTTGATAGATTTCTGTGGTCTGTGTTATCCGTATATTTAAGAGATATATTTCAGTAAAAACACATTTTCTTCACATACGATATGAAAAGCTTTTTAACAAATCATTAATTGATTAGAAAATGTGTGCACTCTTTGCCAATTGGTGTTCACTTAATGTGCTTTTATAACCCATTATCACTTCTTGACGGCAATCACAAGACATAAACTCATTATTAGAGTGTCGGTCCCGTACTTAAGGACTTGACGTTAATTAAGTTAATTATATGTGAAATTGTGTAAATCCGGAGACATTTAGTTTGGGTACATTATGGGCAGTATTCTTACAAATTCGTTAGAAATGTATGCTATTTAATTGTTAGAATAGTGCATGTATAAATTAGAAAGCAATCTAGATCATTAATTAAAATTTATAGCTTGTGTTTAATTATAAATAATTATTTTAAAGCTTACAAACTTTTAATTACTCGAAAATAATTATTTGCATTGTGCATTATTGTGTATTAAAATTTAAAATTGAATTCAATATACAGTTCTACGTGTATAAGGTAGAATATAATAAGATAAGCATGATCATTTTTTACAATTTCGCCAATACACTTATGATTGCATTTAATTATAATTGAAAAATATTATTAAACCATAAATATTACAGGTAAAATATAATTGAAAAAATTCTGGGCATGCTTATTTATATACTTGATTTAGCTAGATTATAGCTTAATGTGTAACCTTCAATAGAATACCTGTACAATTGTATTACACTAGAAATCCTGTATAAGTAATGTTTAATTCATTGCATGATTTAATGCTTTATTGAACACAACTTTAATATTCCTAATAAAATACAGTAATTAGTTTTTTCTGTGACTAATGCACCGAATTTTGCACTGAAATCAGTATTTGTGAGTCAAGCTATGGTTGAAATTGAATATCTTGTTCACTCAATAACAACATTAAAACATGAGTCAAACAAATTCACACCAAAGAGTCGAAAACCATTGGAAAAAAACTTTTCGAAATACTTTTTGACTCAAAAGTTGAAAACTTTTAGGAAACCTAAAACTTTACAGTTTTGTGCGAATTCTAGCACTCACTGCGCGTGCGCTGCACTCAAAGCACGCATTCATTGGTCCAAACATTTCAATGTCTGTAATATTCAAAGCGTTGTTTTGAGTCAAGCCTTGCGTTGAATGGACTGAACACTCGTTTCATTGCATTTCATTTGAAACTCAATTCACAACTCATTTAACCATTGATTGAGTGATTGATTGATAATATGTTTTCGTTTCTCAAGTCTATCGCCGGCTTTGGGTCGCAGTCGACGGCCACCGCCGACGACGACCTGATCCGAGAGCAGCTCAACGACGATCTCGAAGACCACTACGAAGAAGACATGGATAAAGACGCCGACAAAGACGGGGACCAATTGAGTGACACCTCGTTTACCGACTCGTCCGACGACGACATGCCGTTGACTAACGGCGGCCGCAGACCAGTGGTTGTCGACCGCGTGAATGGACGCAAAGACTTGAAGACCACCGACGAGGAGGAAGAGGAGGGCGTCTGGAATGAGGAGTGGAACGCATTGGAAGAGTTGGCATCCGATGACAGACTCAAACTCGTGGACACCGACGGCAAAGGTGTGTCCGTAAAGGGAATGATCACTGAATGCGGAGACAATGAGATAGTGGTCGACGAGAAACACCGCATCAAATATAGCGTATGTCTTAAGAGTTGTTTTATCTTTTACTATAACATTGTTTGCGTGAAAAGCGGTCCACTTTTGGCCAACTCTTTACCGGAGATCTCGTGAATGTGGAGACTATTGGCGCCGAAGTGTTGGTAAAGCCGTTGCGGTTTAAGATATTGACGGGAAAGGTATCGGAATACCAGAGAAATTACAATCGATACATCTTCTCCGGACACGTGAGTCAAGTGTTGACTTTAATGAAGATTTGATCAATATTTGATCCAATGTTTGATTTTGTCTGAAAGGCTGTGATTCGCAAAACTGATGAAACGCAACACTTGAGAGTCGGAGACATTGAGAAAATGATTGTAATCGAGACCAGAAACGATGTCTTTAACTGGAGAGCCATTATCTACAGTAAGTTCTACGATGTAGAAGACGGCAAAAGGGATCAAATCGATGTCTACACCGACGATCTGATGGCCAATAAAAACTCAATCGAAATCACAGATGGAATCAATTTCAAAGAGATGAGAGTCGGGACAGAGAAGAAGATTTTCGTTTACATTAAGTGAGTATTGGTTTTGAGGTCTTTATGGCAGAGATATTGTTAACGTTTGTATTGACAGAAATCGGGGTAAAAGAGCCCAAACTCTGTTGTCATGTGAGGCGGAAGAGGGCGAGAATCAGATCCGTTTCAATGCATTTTTTTCGACGTACTCTAAGCCGAGTGAAGAGCCGTACGTAATAGCGGCCGAATCGGAGTCTTTTGTGGAGCTGTTATGCGACGCGAAGTATACCTTTCCTCCCAAATGGAGACATTAATAATGAATTGACGATAATTTGAATGCTTTGTACAGATATTGCGGCGATTATAGCGAACTCCTAGTGTTTGCGTTTGAAGGGTTCAAAATCGGTCGCTTTGTGACCGTAACGGTGTTAGACGGCGCTCGTTATGGCAACGAAAGGCGCCGACTATACGGCACCAGCACTTGGATAGTGCCCGGAGAGCGGGTCTGGAATTCAAACAAACATATATTCGACAAACTGTCCGCATATAAAGTGCCCGAACAGTTGTGGCGAGTGATCGAAAACAACTGGTCAATCGATACCGTGTTTCCCGAACTCAAGCAGAGTCTCAATAAAGACAACTATAGACTGAAGTTTCACGCATTGGTATATTTGGAAGAATGTGAGAATCAATTGAATCTCCAGACGTATGACATAACGGAGGCTCAGTTCCGACGTTGCGGTCGATTCTTGGGTCTCACTGTCCCCGGACTGGCCGACGGCAGACCCAGTCTTATAATCAGCGACCGAGTGATCGCTTTTGACGATCAAAACCAGACCACTAAAGAAGACAAGATCATGGGTTACGAGGGATTCATTCATGACGTGAGTGTTTGACTGTTTAATTGCATTCATTTTTATTTTGTTTTGATATTTAGATCAAAAGAGATGAGATTCTTCTCCGGTTTAATGACGACTTTCACCGGGACTTCAATGGAGGCGTATTTAAAGTGATGTTTCAGTTGAGCCGGTAATGAGAGCGTTGTCCACAAAATTTGAATTAAAACTAAAACATGAAATATTGTATTACTTAACATCCTGTTGTATGTCTGCTACGGTAGTGCGGTAACTAGAGAGAGGTGTATAGCACCTAGTCCACAACAAAGGCGTGTTTCAATAGGAGTTTGTCGGCAAATTCTTCTAAGGCAAACTTAGAATTCAATGGTTTAACAAGTCGTTGAATCTGCAGCAGAAACTGGCGGTCGTGGCATCACTTAAAGGCCACTCCCGTCCCACGCCTTACATCATATTTGGTCCGCCGGGCACTGGAAAGACGGTCACAATAGTGGAGTCAATACTACAAGTGTTTGATAAGTTGGGCGACAGTCGTATCATCGCCTGCACCGCAGCCAACAGTTCTGCCGATTTGATCGCTCAGAAGCTCTTAGAGAGCGGTCGAGTGTCTGAAACCGATTTGATACGTGTGTCGGCATTGCATCGTAAGTCTCACTACAGATGTTAATTGGGTTTTAATTTACGCTGACAACTATACTAACGCCAAATCCATACTTAAGTTAGGGTCTTCGCCAATTCTTTTAGTGCGTTAGCCGGCTACTCCTGCTCTTCTTTACCTATATGGTATCCTAATATCACTGCTGCTGTAGCCAGGCGGGCGTTGTCTTCAGATACAAGATATCTCCGTCTCATTTCACGCATGTGTTCATCGACGAGGCGGCGCAGGTGACCGAACCCGAGTCATTGATTCCCATTACGATGAGCGCTATCGGACACGGAGTGGTTGTGTTGGCCGGCGATCACAAACAGTTGGGTCCCGTCGTTATGTCCAAAAGAGCCAAAGACAACAAACTCTGTACATCTCTTATGGAGCGACTGATGACCACTTGCGAGCCGTACGCCCGAAGCGAAGCCTACGCTAAGTATGGAAAATACAATCCGAGATTTACAACAAAATTAGTGCAAAACTATCGGTCAGACGGTCTGATTATGTCGATTCCATCGCAACTCTTTTACGACAATGAGTTAGTGTTTAATTGCGAAACTGATGCCAATCTCTTGGATGCGTTGGGCTTTAAGTCTCCGCTTTGTTTCATTGGCGTCAGAGGTATATATATGTCTTAATCGATTGATTATGAATTGATGGCTAAATATGTTGTTGAATGAGATCAGGTGATGACAGACAGGAGGCGGACTGTCCCTCTTGGTTCAATCCACAGGAGATAATCCAAGTTTGCACTTATTTAGAAAAGCTATACAAAGCCGGAGTCAAACCCGAAGAGATTGGTATATAAGTGTTATTTATAAGTTTGTCATTTATAACTCGATTATTAAATGATTTTCGCCTATAATTTGCAGGAATTATAACTCCGTATAGAAAACAAGTGACAAAACTGCGGACACATATGCGTGACTGCGGTTTAGAAGATTGTCGAGTGGCCACTATTGAGGAGTTCCAGGGCCTCGAGAAGCGGGTGATAATTGTATCGATGGTTCGCTCCAATTATGACAATTTAAGTCATGATATGAAATACAATTTGGGTTTTGTTCATAACGCCAAACGCTTTAACGTTGCCATCAGTCGTGCCATGTCTTTGCTTATATGTGTTGGCGATCCCTACCTCTTGAAGCGAGACAAGTGTTGGGCCAAACTTCTGGAGTATTGTCTCGAGAATAACTACTATAAGGGCTGTGCGTTCGGCGATTATAATCCTTTTATAGCAAAACGTTCACCACTTATGGGTTAAAGTGAAATCATTTTATAATTATGTGTCAATTTTTAAATCATTGTCGTTTAAGAATCAATTTAATGTAGGGCTGTGCGTTCGGCGATTATAATCCTTTTATAGCAAAACGTTCACCACTTATGGGTTAAAGTGAAATCATTTTATAATTATGTGTCAATTTTTAAATCATTGTCGTTTAAGAATCAATTTAATGCTTTTTATTTCCCTTTACTAGTCATTAATTTTTATAATAATGTCATTGATTTTGAATAGTTTTATAAAATTTGTTATCAAATTTCCCAAAATTCATAATTGATTATTAAAATCGTGTATTTTCTTAATTGATTTGTTCGCTCTTTTAGTCCTCTTTCAACAGATATCTTGTGGTCAAAGCGGCTGTAAATAAAGGAAAACTTAAATATTGTTTTAGAGTATTAGGATTTAAAATAAGATACCGATGGGAGCGCCGGACGGAATGCCCGGGAAGGGACCCGAAGAGCCGGCGATATCTATATGCGAGAATGGGATCGGTTTGGAGGAATCCAAGCCGTGTTTGTCTAAACCGGACACTTGTATGAGAAAGGCTGCGGGCATTTGATGTCCTCTCGCTGTTTGAGAAGACGGCGCGTTATTGCACTGAAGTATGTCCTCGTAATCAGACTTTCCCACATTGAACTCGTAGTCCTCGCGACGAATGGTCGACACCTCGAACGGGTCGCCGATATCATGGCCAGCGGTTTGTATGGTTTCGGCGGTTCTGAGCTGACGCGCGGGTCCGTTGTCCAGAATGATGGTGTAGTTGTCGCCGACGGCCAGACAACAGTGACCCGTCAGTGTGGCGATCGTAAAGA